CCCTGTCAAACGCGCTTTAACACTAGCTGTACACCCTGCCACCAACAGTAGAGCAATCAGGTTGAAATGTCCAGTTGGGAGTAGGTGAAATACTTGAGTTTAGGGGGTAAACCATAAATGGAGATAAAAAATTGTGTCTTTGGACATGAAAGGATGGGTAAAACCTTGAGAATTGATGAATTTTAAGGATAGGTTCAAGACCTTTATTTAAACAGTTTAAAACCTTAGCATTTTTGTCTATTCTTCCCTCATTTTTATGCCCCTGCATGAATTGATCCATTAATCTGGTCAATTCTCCCTTTGCCTCTAACATCACTTACTTGTTTCCACTATACTGCTCCTACCAAGCCCCAATCACCTCACACTTGATCTATTATTTCAAGGCCCATCACCTCACACTTGATCTATTATGTTACACCTTCTAACTAGTCTTCCTTGTTTTCTAGTCTCCAATAAAAGCTGCACATCATTTTCAGGATGAATCATCTTATCAATCCCCTGCCTAAAACTTCTCAATGTCTTCTTGTCTTCAGAATAAAGTAAGTCCACAAAATGGCCCTGCACAAGATAACTTTTGTTTGCCCCTTTACATCCATTTTCCTGCTTCTCTACTGCTGCTCTTTGTTCTGTGATTCAAGCATGTATAGAATAACATTAACAGGCTACCTTGTCCTCTAGCTTTTGGGTTGGTTTTACCAAACAGGGAGCACTGGCAAAAGATTAGAGGAAACAAGGAGAGTAAGATCAGCAATTTATTATCCAACTTCCTCCTTGTGATTGTATCTGTCCACTAAGGTCACTGCCTCCCCTCAGAGTGGCTTTCTCTACCTGTACCAGTTACTATTGCTGTACACCAAACCACTCCAAAATTTGTCATAAGAACAAACATTTTGTTTTGTTCATGGATTCTGTAGTCAAGACTCTGGACAGAACACAGTGGGGATGGGCAGTGTCTGCTCCACATCTGGGGCCTCAGCCAAGAATATTTACAGCTTGGTACTGGAATCACGTGGAAGTATCATTTGCATTCTGGTGGCTGGTACTGGCTTTCAGCTAGGACAGAATCTGCAGTTGTTGACTGAAGTAACTTTACATGGCTTTTCCCTGAGGCGCCTGGGCTTTTCTCACAGCTATTAGTATTCATGGTAGTCGGACTTCTTACATGTCATCTTAACGGCTCCAAGTTAAGTTCCAGCTAACAAGGTGGAGACTACATCAGCTTTTCTCTGACCTAGTTTTTCTAAGTTATGCAGCATCACTTTCAATATATCCGTTGGTATAATCAAATCACAAATCCACCCAAATTCAAGGGGAAGGGAATAGACCCTAATTCTCAGTGGTAGGAATGTCAAAGAGTTTGTGTCATTTTTAAAGCCACTAAAACAATCTACGCAATTCTCTCCTTATCTTTTCAGGTCTAGAAATGGTAGTAACCCTGTCCCCTCACCTTCCTACATAGTACTTTATTAAAATCTTCCTCAAATGATCCTCATTTGTGTGTTCCATGTTCTTTGGTTGAACCAATATTTCATACAGTAATTGGTGCTGACAGTACCTGGTAAACAGGAAACAGCAATCACCCTAAATGTTTTTGTGATTGAGATACATACATACAGACAGACACACGCCCAACCAAAACCAATAAGCCTAACTTCGTTCCTGACTTTAATGGGAATGTATCCCATGTTTACTATTTAATATACTGTTCAGCTAGTTTCAAACAAATACTTTAAAATCATGTTTAAAAAAGTTTCCTTCTGTTACTCACTTTATTTGGAATGGCCAGCTGAATTTTGTCAAATGTTTTTCTGGCATCTTTGACATGATCACATTTCCTCTCTTTCCTGTTAAGTTACACTTAACATTCAACAGTGTGCTGGCAAGCAATAAATAACCAAACTCAGGGCAAAGTGATGGGAGGTTAGTGAGAAAAGGCCTTGGGTTTGTACATTTTGAGCCATGTCCTCTACTCTGATTCTATTGAAATGTGTATTTCTCCCACTATTATGGAGATAAGCGTTTGGGATACAGGTAACTTTCCGTCAACTACATTCCTACGGTGGCAACACGGGTAACATAAAACGGAGAACCAGGAACGACGTCTCTTCTTTCTCCCCAAATGCAAAGGTGGATGGATGTGTGAGGTTTGATAGCAGGCACAAAGTCATTTGGTTACCGTGATTTATCATCAGATCCCCTGTCCCGAGGGGGAGATGGCTTCTTGCAGAACGAGGTGAAGGAGGTGGTTCTGCTCAGCAGTCAACAGTGGCCACAGGTCCACCTGTAGCGACTTGATGGCTTCCGTGTCCTTTTCGTGGGTAGCCATGACCAGGGACTGGAGCAGCAGAAAGAGCTCCTCGGGAAGCTGGCCACTGCTTTCCTGCCCGTGGCTGTCAAAAGCCTCCCAGGAGTACTTCTCCAGGGTCTGGGCATGCTCCGGCAGCAGCTTGGCGGGCGGTGGTTGCAGGAGCAGCAGCAGTAGTACGCGAGACACCTCGCAGCGGACCAGCACGTCTGAGAAGGCGCCCAGGGTTGCGGGAGAAGGAGCCGTAGAGCCGGCGTTCGGAGGGAGCAGCGCGGCCGGCAGGGCGGGTGTCGCGCCGGGTCCTGGCGGGGGCCCCGGCGGTGGCGGCGGCAGCTGCACTGGATGGCCGCCGTGCTCCCGTGCCAGGCGCTGCATGCGCGTGAAGACCGCCAAGGCGCCGTTGTAGTCGCGCGCCAGCAGCAGGCAGGAGGCGGACTCGCCGAGCGCCTGCAGCGCGGCCAGCGGCAGCTGGGGCAGCTGGAGCTGGGCGGCGCGCTGGAAGTGGCCGCCGGCGGCGGCCGGCTGACCCAGGTCGCGCAGAGCGGCGGCCAGCTCCAGGCAGAGGGCAGCGGCGGCGGCCGGCTGGCCCAGCTCGAGGTGCAAGCGCACGGCGGCGCCCAGGGCGCTGGCGGCGGCCTGCAGCGGCTCCCCGTAGGCGGCTGGGCAGACCAGGCGCTGGCGCGCGTCGCGCTCCTGCCGCAGGAAGAGGCGCGCGGCCTCGGTGAGGGCCAGCGCCTCCCCGGGCCCGTGGAAAAGCGCCTGCTGGCAGCGCGCCACCGCGAGCTGGCACCAGGCCGCGTATGGCAGGCACTCCTGGGCGCGCAGCTCGCGGCCAAGCTGCCCGAACTGCTCGCCGGCCTCCGCCACGTTCGGCTTCCGCAGGAACCGCTTCTTCAGCTTGTTCGACACCAACCGGTACCGGGCCAGGAAGTCCCCGGCCTCGGGACTGGGCCCCGCACCGCCTCCCAGACCAGCCGCGGCCGCCGCCATGTTGGCCGTCCCAAGCGCTTCCGGGCGCACTGACGCAGCCACTAGACGTGGCGGCGCCACCGGTGCGGGGGGCCACGACGTGCCCTGCGTCTCCCTGGGGCTGGCCGACGCGACCGCGCCCGCTCGGGAGTCCGGAGTCGGAGCCGGCTCTGGAGTCCGAGCCCGCCCCGTTGCCCTGGTGATATGCAAAGAGCAGGATCGGAGGCGGGGCTTGGCCCAGCTGCGAGTGGCATTTGCAAATCAAGGGTCTTGGGCGGAGCCTGGCCGGACGCCTGCCCCGTGCGCAAATCAAATCCAGGGTCCTTCGGAGGCAGGCGGGGACGGGCCTGGCGCCAGATGTTGTTAGGTTACGGCTTGTCTCTCTCGGTTGCTAAGGGCGTCCCATAGCATCTCCGTTTGGACACGGCCAAAGCTACACTCGTGACCCTGCGTGATCCTCATTCCGTGTTTGTGTATTTCTGGGATGCTCCCCTCATCACTCCTCTCTTCCCACCCAAAGTCCCTGCCCCATTGGAGCCCATGCCGACCGCTTCGTCCACCTCTGCACCCCAACCCTGGCTGCCTTTACACAACACCGCAGTGATGGTCTTGAGCTGCACCTCAACGAACCCCATGACTCTGGGGAATTCATCAGACAGGCCGTGACTTGCTCAGAACCGATGGGGGAGGCTTCTGTGCCCCCACCCCAGCCAGCCCTTCCCACCCAGGGCCATCCCCTGCACTGTCACCTGGAGAGACTGCTCCTCTGTGCCATCCCTGACTCCCACCCCACCCCACCCCGAGACCCCCACCGTCTGCCCTTCCCTCCCTCCAGCTATGGGATGTCTGTGCTCCACTGTACCAGCCATGACCCCATCCGACCCCATCCCCACCAAGACCCGCACTGCCTGCCTTTTCCTCCCTCTGGCTGTAGATGTCTGTGCTGCAATGTGCCATCGCTGACTCACACCCCACACCCCACACCACCACGCCCTGAGACCCCAACCGCCTCTCCTCCCCTCCCTCCGACTATAGATGTCTGTGCTCCTGTGTGCCATCCCTGACTCCCAACCCACCGCACCGCACGCCGAGACCCCCACAGCCTGCCTTTCTCTCTCTCTGGCTATAGACGTCTCTGCCCCTCTGTGCCATCGCTGACTCACACCCCACACCCCACACCACCAAGCCCTGAGACCCCAACCGCCTGTCCTTCCCTCCCTCCAGCTATAGATGTCTGTGCCATCCCTGACTCCCAACCCACCCCCACGACACCCCGAGACCCCCACTGCCTGTCCTTCCCTCTCTCCTCTATGGATGGCTCTGCTCCTCTGTGCCATCCCTGACTCCCACCCCACCCCACCGGGAGACCCCCCACCGCCTGCCCTTCCCTCCCTCCGGCTATGGGTATCTCTGCTCCTCTGCGCCATCCTTGACTCCCACTCCACCCCACGACACCCCGAGACGCCCACCGCCTGCCTTTTTCTCCCTCTGGCTATAGATGTCTCTGCTCCACTGTGCCATCCCTGACTCCCACCCTACCCCACCGCGCCCCGAGACCCCCACCTCCTGCCCTTCCCTCCCTCCGCTATTGGATGCCAGGTGCCAGCCATGACTCCCACCCCATCACACCACACCCTGAGACCCCCACCACCTGCCCTTCCCACCCTCCTGCTATGGATGTCTCACAACCCCCTCTGACGGAAAGTGACTCAAGCAGGCTCGTGTGTTTCCTTAAACACTTTATTGACAGAACTTTCTGAAGGCCCTGGGCAGGCGGGGTTGCCCTGGCCGGCCAGAGAGAGGGGCGAGTTTGGCTCCAGGCGGGCGGGCCGACGGGTGGAGGGAAGGACGGCTGAGGTCCGGCAGCCAGCTGTCAGCAGCTACTCCTGCGCTGGGGCAACCTGGGAGATGGTAGTGGTCCCAAAGAAGCCGCTGAGCAGCGGGTTGTTGTGGACAGCCATGTCCACCAGCTCCGGGGTGATGCGCCTCCTGCCGCTCTTCTGGGCCTCGTTGCCCGCCAGCTCCAGGACCTTGGCCGTCAGGTACTGGACGATGGCAGCTAGGAAAACTGGGGCAGAGGAGCTCAGCCGCTGGGTGTAGTGGCCCTCCCGCAGAAGGCGCTCCATGTGGCTCACCGAGAACGCCAGCTCGGCTCTGGCTGTGCGAGAGCGGGTCTGGCTCTGACGACGGGACGACCTTCGACGGCTCTGCTTGCCCGGCATGCTGGACATTGCGTGCGGTATCTCCACCCGGCAGTAGCTCGACGCGATGCCTCTCAATATGCCGGTCCTCGGTCCAGTACTCTGTATCCTAACGACCACGGACCAGTCCCTCATTGGTCGGGGAGCCGGCTGCGTGACACGCACGTCCGGTGGCGTCATTGCCTCCCAGGCGGCCCCCGGGCAGCAGGCCTGGGCTTAGAAATGGCAGGCCGTGGGGTGGGAGGATGCTGCTCACTCTCGCCCCTGGACCCTCTCCTTGCGGGAACTCCCGTTTTCTACTGGATGGGAACGTGGTGCGAAAGATGGAGGGGTGGGGAAGGGGGGTGGTGGTACGACTCAGTGCCATTAAATACATTCACAATGTTGTGCAGCCATCACGACCATCTAGTTGCAAAACATTTTCACCACCCCCCAGAAGAAACCCCTGTACCCATTAAGCAGCCACTCCCCATACCCTGCACCACCTCCCACGTACACACACACCCACACACATGACACCGCCACTGCCACCCCCACCCCCACCACCTCCACACTCCCCATAGTCCCTGGCAACTGATAATCTGCTTTCTGTCTGTGCAGGTTTGCATATTCTCGAGATTTCCTGTAGATGGGGTCTTTGTGTTGCTATAAATGGGTACCTGAGACTCGGTAATTTATATAGAAAAGAGATATTAAGTTGGTGCAAAAGTAATTGCTGTTTCGGACAGTGAATTTTAAATCATTATAACTAGGCTCAAACACATCTTTATTAATCAAAATGGGAACCATTACAACCAATACATTTTTGCCAGTGATAAATAAGTTTGTTTATTACCGTAGCATAAAAATCCATGCTTTGGGATTCAACGAATTCTTGGAAAGCATTTTCTGCATCCTCCTGGTTGTGGAAGTGTTTTCCTTGCAAGAAGTTGTTGGGATGCTTGAAGAAGTGGTAGTCCATTGGCAAGAGGTCAGGTGAATGTGGCAGATGAGGGAAAACTTCGTGGCCCAATTCCTTCAACTTTTGAAGCATTGGTTGTGTGATGTGCAGCTGGGTGTTGTCGTGGGGAAGAGTTGGGCCCTTTCTGTTGACCAATGCCAGCTGTAGGTGTTTTGGTGCATCTCATGGATCTGCTGACCATACTTCTCAGATGGAATGGTTTCACCAGTATTCAGAAAGCTGTAGTGGATCAGATCGGCAGCAGACCACCAAACAGCAACCATGACCTTTTTGTGATATAAGTTTGGCTTTGGGAAGTGCTTTGGAGATTGTTCTCAGTCCAATCACTGAGCTGATTGTCACCAGTTGTTATATAAAATACACTTTTTGTCACACATAACAATCCAATTGAGAACTGTTTCATTGTTGTTGCATACAAGAAGAGGGGACAGGCTGGGTGCAGTGGCTCAGGCCTATATTGCTGGCAGAGGTAGGCGGATTGCTCAAGGTCAGGAGTTCAAAACCAGCCTTAACAAGAGCGAGACCCTGTCTCTTCTAAAAATATAAAGAAATTAATTGGCCAACTAAAAAAATATATATATAAAATAATCCTAGCATTCTGGGAGGCTGAGGTGGGTGGATCATTTGAGGTCAGGAGTTGGAGACCAGCCTGAGCAAGAGTGAGACCCAATCTCTAGCTATAACAGTCAGAAAGACACCGAAATAATTCAACTACATTATATAGAAAAAAATTAGCCGGCATGGTGGCGCATGCCTGTAGTCCAGCTAGCTGGAGGCTGAGGCAGAGGATTGCTTGAGCCCAGGAGTTTGAGTTGCTGTGAGCTAGGTGAGCCACGGCACTCCACTCTAGCCTGAGCAACAAGTGAGACTCTGTCTCAAAAAAAAAAACACCAGTGTTCTTCTCTTGAATTTCTATGGTTACATTTTTTATCTACGTTGGATGCCTATTACAACATAACGGTTATATTCTTATTTCTGTTTGGGAAGATTATACTCTTCTCACTGGATAGTCAATTGCATGAGACTACTTAAACAGGAGTGTCTTATGCCATGCTACGCCAAGAGAACGCTGAATGATCCTTCGTTAAGTTCACCCTATTAGATTTGGCCCATTGTCTCAGCTGCAAGCTTCAGTCTCCCCAAGGTAATTTCCTAGTCTTCAAGGTTTCACATCATTACTGATTTCGAATCAGTAACTTGTCAATTTCCACAAAAGTCCCAGTGCACAAATATTGAAGTAGAGCAGGGTTTCCTTTGTATGTGTATCAACACACAATCAAGCCAGTAATCCTTATGCAGCCAACCTTATAACGGCAGCATGTACTATCATCCCTCCATTTTAGATAAGGAAATTGAAGATAGAGAAGTTAGATATTGTGCCTAAGTCAGCACCAGCCAACAAGCGACTGGAGCCACCAAATTCAACACCCTGCATTGTTGCATACCGTTTGGCTCCCGAGCAGTCACACGTATTCATAATAGTTATACTATCCTGTTTCTAAATCTCTTTGTAAGTGTAATATCTATTAAACTCATTACTGTTGTTTATGTAATTAGAACCAGTTGACAAATATCCTAGATTGTTTATCGATCCAACCCACGTATTATCACCGATCACCCTCACGTGGTTCTTTGCCATCTTTCCTACTGAGGTCCAGCTAGACATTTTCTTGATCTGGTAACTTTATTTTTATTATTAATATTTATTTTTTGAGACGCGAGTCTTTCTTTGTCACCCTGGCGCTAGAGTGCCATGCAATTAGTCTAGTTCACTGGCACCTCCAACTCCTGAGCGTGAAGCAATTGTCCTGCCTCAGCCTCCTGAGTAGCTGGGGGCTACACGGCACATGCCACCATGCCTGGCTACTTTTTCTATTTTTAGTAGGGAGGAGAGTATAGCTGCTTACTCAGGCTCGGTCTCCGAATCCTGACCTCAAGTGATCCTCCTGGCCTCAGCTTCCCAGAGTGCTAGGACATTACCAGCATGGAGCCACTATGCCGGGCTGCTTCTGAAGACCTTAACACACCTCGTCCCCTGTTACACTGCTTATTTTCTCCTGCACCTATCACTACTTGAGCTGTAAAGAAATAAAAACATATAAATGATATAGAGTTTATTTCTCCTACTCAAATGTAAGTTCCATGAGGGCAGGGTTCCTATTTCTTGTTTTGCTACCTACTATTTCCAGTACCCCTAAAACAGTACTTGGCACAGTAGCAAGTGCTAAAAATTATTTTTTTGAATGAGTGTACGCATGAACTTAGTCAACTGAAGGATACCATTATTAACGGCACCAGAGTCATGACTAGTCGAATTTGGACATGCCAGGCTTCTGTAAGAACATTTTAAGTTTGTCTTGCTTGTTAGGGCAGAAACTGATACCTCTTGTAATGCTGCATGGTCCATGACCTCTTCTTGAAGAACAACCATTCTTACCACTGTGCCATATTTACTCATTCATTCCAAAGCATTGCTATGCATCAGTATTATATCAGATACCATGTTAGGTGCTGGGCTAGAGAGAAAATAAAAACTAACATTTATTGAATGTTAATATGTGCTAGGCACTGAATTCAGCACATTACATGTATTAACTCTTTGATCCTTTGTAACTCTTTGAGACAAACACTAATATTATCTCCACTTTACAGATAAACAATTGAGACACAGACATGGTTAGGTAAACAACAAGTTTACTGCCTTAAGGATCTTGGTCTAATAAGGAAGGCAGACAAACAAGCAACCTTTTATAATATGGTGCAATAATTTGCTATAATGAAGTTATATATAAAAGTGAAGTGGAAGCATAGAAGAAGCGCCACTAAATTTGTCTGGGTGAATCAGAGAAGGCTAACCAGAGAAATAGTTTTCTGAATAACGCTTTAGGAGGTATACGCAGTTTATCATTGACAGAGATGTTGGATGGGGCTGGTCTGGGAGTGGGAAGGAAATTGGCTTTGGCTAGGCTGAGGTTGAGTGTGGGCAAAGCATTAGATTATGTGGTCCAGATAGGCAGCATAAAGGATGTGTATGCAGAGCACTGGGGCTTAATGACTTGGAAATAGTCTTAGTTTGCCAGAAAGCAGCCTAAGAACTCAATACATGCACTTTCCTACTCATTCCGACTGTTTATCCCACAGTTGCACACACATGTCCAAATTTCAACATTGGTGTCTGCTTCACTTGCACATCTAAGGTAATGCTGGGCACATCTGTAGGCAATGTACGAATTCTTCTAAGCCAATAGTTAATTTCAGGAAGTAGTACAGACATTTAAAAACAAGTAAAAGTGTTGCTTTAAATTGGTAGGTGGATCTGTTGGCACCAATGATTATTCATGGCATCCAAGACCCAGGTGCCCGTCAGAAGTTTTCCAGTCTCTACATTCTCTCAGTTTCATCATCAATGTATAGTCTGGATGGGAAGAAGTGGAAGACTTATCGAGGAAATTCCACTGGGACCTTAATGGTATGTAATTAGTCCTTTCAACAGATTGCATGAATTCTTCTTTATAACTTTGACAGATTTCAGATATGGAAAACATCCTGCTTCTGCAAACTTAACTCCAAATGAATTTTTTCTGGCCAGGTGCGGCGGCTCACACCTGTAATCCCCAGCACTCTTGGAAGGCTGAGGCAGGTGGATTGTTTGAGCTCCAGGAGTTCGAGACAGCCTGAGCAAGGAAGCGAGACACTTTCTCTACTAAAACTTACACAAGAAATTACGCTGCACAACTAAAAATATATAGAAAAAATTAGTCAGGCAATGGTAGCACATGCCTGTGTAGTCCCAGCTTACTTGGGATGCTGAGGCAGCCAGGATTGCTTGAGCCCAGGAGTTTGAGGTTGCTGCAAGCTAGGCTGATGCCACGGCACTAACTATAGCCCGAGGAACAGAGTAAGACTCTGTCCTCAAAAAAAAAAAAAGAAAAGAAAGGGGAGGGGAGAGAGAGAGAGAGAGAGAGAGAGAGAGAGAGAGAGAAAGAAAGAAGAAAGAAAGAAGAAACGAACAGAAAGAAAGAAAAGAAGAAAGAAAGAAGAAAGAAAGAAAGAAAGAAAGAAAGGAAGGAAGGAAGGAAAAGGAAAGAGAGAGAGAGAGAGAGAGAGAGAGACGATAGAGAGAGAGAGAGAAGAAAGAAAGAAAGAAAGAAAGA